TCACCACCACCGCAATTCTTGGGCTACTCTTTTATCAACGAATAGGGGGATTGAGCGTCACATTATAACGCCCCCACGGCTGAAAGGGCGAGCATGTTTGGTGTGAGGGGGATTCGAACCCGCGACCCACTGATTGCCAGTCGAGCCCCCTAACCACCTTGAACTAAGACTTTAATTGTGGCGCCTAATATTTTCTCCCAGTTTATTCGTGCGTAGAGCTGTGGTAAATAGCACTCGAATCTAGAACAGTTCTGGACTCTTGGAAGTCCAGGAATTATTTTTGCGTTATTTAAGTCCGAAATCGAACTTCGTTTCAAGGATTTTAATAGCGGATTCAGCGATTACCCAACACATTACTCATTTCATGTCATTTTGTTTTTCTTCTTTCTCTCAATTCAACCAATCTGTGCGCGTGTTTAGTCTCAGACGGGACCAAAGGCAGTTAGTTCAGGCGATACTATCAAGTGGTTGTTGACATCATGTAATTGTTAACATGCACTCGTTGCTGTGAAAGTAAATAAATATAGCCCCCATTGTCCGGTACAAACAATAGTGAAGTTAGGTTAGGCGCATCAAAAGGCCTTTGCTTATCGTTGTGATGAGTAGATTAGATCTGTTCTGAAGCAAACTGCTTGGCCTATCGATATCGCAGTGATTATTATCTTCTTTTTTTTAACTTTCAATCATTGCAAGAATCCACCTAAGTTATAGTTATTTAGTCTACTATTTTATTAATTGCACATATTGAAGTTTAATATATCTTATATAATAAATTAACCCTTTGTTTTTAGTGTAAAACTGTATGTCTCATCCCATAACTACACAACCGACTCAAAATATATTCCATAACAATTCTAAATCGGACCTGGCTCCATAGGTTTTTTGGGCTGGCTGAAAATATTTGTCGAGGCCTGGCTTGAGAATTAGGTACGAAATACGTTCATTTACTTAATATGTCAGATATGCGAGGTTTAAATTCAAAATTATAAGTTAGCGTGCCGGGCTGCATAACAGTAGATCCAAGGCTGGCATCAGATGCTACAGGTTGATTATACTATTTCTCACCAACAGTTCTAAACTGGAGATGAGCCTTAGATATCTATAACCTCTCAGTTTATCGTATAAGTTGTTTATGATGTCGTTAAGATTAAAACTACTAAATATTTCAAATGAAAAAAAACGGACAAAAAGATTTAAAATGTTAACACCGGACATTTTTTTTTTAAATATCAGTTTTACAATGAAAAACAACGAAAAAAGATGGAAATGTATTTCCTACAAATATTTGTATTTATAGGAGGTGGCGAGGCTCCACGAAATCTTTCTGGTAGACTAGTGGCAGCCACCTGGTGGCTGTTTGGTTTTATCATCATTGCTTCCTATACTGCTAACTTAGCTGCGTTTTTAACGGTGTCTCGTTTGGATTCTCCTATCGAGTCACTGGACGACCTGGCTAAGCAGTACAAGATAAAGTACGCTCCTCAAAAAGGAACTTCGTCCATGACCTACTTCGAGAGGATGGCGCATATTGAGGAAAAATTCTACGAGTGAGTATCGCAATCTATTGAGGAAAAAATTCTTCGAGTGACTATCGCAATCTTCGTTTAATTGACATAGGATGATAATTCTAAGTACCTGTCTTTCTGCATGAAGGGATATCTATCTACGCAGCGTACACCACCTGGATCGAATTTTAGCGTTACAAGCCCTCGAGCTTGTAAATAAATAATAATTATTGTGAATATTAAATATCGGTTATTAAATAATAAATTGCAAGTAATTAACAGTGATTTTACAAGAGTAAAGAAGCAGTCATATCCCTGCTTGTTATTATCGTACTTATAGGGAGTTACGAATTTGTCAGTTTGTCTTATTAGTTTAACTATACGGAGTTACGAATGGGTCTATTTCGCCTTACTAGCAAATGGTATGAACATTTTAAAGATTAAACTTACCATAAAGTATTGAATTGTTTTTGTCTTTCATATGTGGATGTGACCGTCAGTCGAATACAGAATCATATATTTTTTTGCAGAGATACGGATTTCGTACTTTAAAAATACTTCACTAGATGGCACCATCGTGTTTAAGAAACGCTACAGTGCAACATTAACTCACTGAAACGATTAGAATAATTATTAAAGACACAGAAAAATAGTTTTTATGTTGAGCAACGCCACGTGCTTTTCAAAACAGATGAACAAAAGAGTATATATAGTATACGTGCTTGATAGGTATGCCTAATGTATTTTATTTTCTTTAATACATGATTTAGACAGAGTATTCATGATGAACAAAGGTGAAATAGGCTCAGTTAAGAGAGACACTGGTGGAGAGTCTTTGAGGACTAATCTACAAAAGTAGCTCAACTCGAAAGGACAACGTTTCTGACGACAGAAAGCTTTAGAAACGTCTTCCTTTTTTCCCGAGTTACCTTCTTTGTTTTTAGGTTAGTACTCCAAGATTTTCGGCTTGTCTTTTATCTTAAACAATGTTTCACAACAGAGAATAATGATTTCCTTTTATCTCTCTGAAGGATTTGGAAAAATATGTCTCTGAACGACGACCTCAATGACACCGAACGGGCTAAATTAGCCGTCTGGGACTACCCTGTCAGTGACAAGTACACCAAGATTTGGTGGACAATGCAAGAGACTGAGATGCCAACTTCGTTTGAAATAGGAGTTCGTAGAGTAAAAGAGTCCCAAGGATCTCAAGAAGGATTTGCGTTTATAGGTTGGTGATTTGTTACCTCTTACCACCAAGATAGTTCGTTACTAAACATGTAATATAGTATTATGCATTGGCCCCAGAGCCTTGAAATCGTACATTTCAGCTGGAGGCCCAAAGACCGAATTTGACCCAAGAGCCTTGAAATAGTGCATTTCAGCTGGTGGCCCAAGGACCACATTTGGCCCAAGAAACTTGAAATAGTGCATTTTAGCTGGCGGCCCAAGGACCACATTTGGCCCAAGAAACTTGAAATAGTGC